GACGGTGCAGTAGAACGACCTACCCACTTTGCCGAGAGCTGACAAGAGATTGATGGATCGGTACTTGCTAGTTGCTGATTCCGGTTTAATTGCCTTTGGCAGCATTGAACGGTCGTCGACTTTCATCGGGTCAGAAGGGCGCCAAGCTATCACAGATTTTATTAGGAGTAACATATAATCCATCCCTGTTAGAAGGCAACTTCTTTTAGGTCTCATTAATGATGCCATCGGGGGTCAGGCGCTTTTCTTTCGGGTAACTCTTTAACAATCGCTTGAAACTCTTCAAAATTAACTAGATCAAATGGTTAATGGACATCGGAAAGAAGGAAGCTCAGTTGTTGGAACGCATCTTTGGCAGTTAAATGAGCAGCTGGCAAGTTTTGAATAGCAAGGAAATCAGCGAAAAGCGTAGCTTTGTCTTCGTCGCTCTCGGCCACTATATTTTTTCACGCAGGGGCATAGTAGTACAAGTCCCCTATTTTTGAGTATAAAAAACTTTACTCTGAGTACCATTTCTGTGTGCTGAGCTTGCGTGAGAGTAGTGTGAAGTAGTTGTCTTAGCGCTCAGCTGTCTATATCTGGCGAGCAACGGATACTATTCCACAAATAGGTCTCATTAATCTTCGCTAGATTTTATGGGAGCTATGGTTATATACCGCGAAGGGTAACAATATATAACAATTTAAAAATAACGCAACTAGAGAAATTTAATTTTTCACCTTTTTTTTCATTTTACTTTAGTAGAACAAGCTAGTTAGCAATCGTTTTAAAATTGACCTGCCTTTATATAAATTTATTATTGCTCAGATTTAGCAGTCTGTGTTTAAGGGTATTAAGCAATTGCCCAAGTCGTTAAAAGAAAGCCAAACGAGCGGTTTCGTTTAAAAAATTTTCTGCAACGCCGAAAACCTCTTTTTCTATGAATCTCTTACCGTGCAGTCGACTTAGTCTTTAAAAACTTGACAGCAAACGATTTTTCAAAATCTGTTATATTTTATATAAAATATTCCTAATAAAACTCGTTTAATTTTCCTGTACACTTTCTCCTAAATTCGCACTTACTCGGCCCTCGATTTAACGACAAATTTTGAACCTTAATATACTTAGCTACAACCCGACGGGGTTGGCCTCATTTTTAGTCTTTAAACTCTCTTTAGCTTGTTAGGTAAAGGCGCCTTTTTTTTAAATTTTTTGACCTTTTTTTTTCCCTTCACTTAAAAATAAACTGACCTCTAATCAGCAGCTATGATATACGCCTATGGAAGGTCTGCTTTAGCAATGAGCGGTGAAATAATGCTATGCTCCGTCTCTAAGCTTTTGACTAATCCATACAATATTATCGAACCTAAGAATAGATATTACTCCCGTTTGATAGAAAACAAGCTTAGACCTATACCAGTGTTAGAAGTGTAGTAGCTCGTGCTTAAGTAAGCATTAAATGCGTATGCCTATTGAAGAATCTTGATATCCGTTCACAGAAATTAAACAAATCACTTTCAGCATCAAAATTTTAAATTAATTAGGCATATAGTCATTAAGGATCGAAACAAATGAAATTAGAAATTTATCGTAGGCGATGAACCGAATTACGCAAACGTTAGACATTGCGTATCTTGAGAAAATTATCGTTAAAGGACACAAAGTTCAATTTAACAATTACTTTAGTGTGTTAAGTATTCATACAAGAAAACTATAAACAGGGAGAACATCGCAAAGAAATTGTGGACTAGCAGCTTGACAATTCATAGAGACCAAATAACTTAATTGGCGCGCAGTACGGTTAAATTAGTATAACCTTGAAACGTTGACATCACTCAAAGAGTAAATTGTACAATAAAGGATGGAACACAATAAAATATTAGGACAGAAAATTGTTTAGACAACTGTTAAAAATCAAGACATGTTTTCTTGGAATTTTCGCCTGACAATGTGGTACGAATCAAGCAATAGTTTTAATATATAAAAAACGTGCCTCTTTAAAAACTCGAATATAATAAAGGGAACCCAGAGAAAGTAATTAAAATAAGAGCTCGAAAACAATATGTTTCCAATGAAAAGAAAAGTGTGCTTTCCTTTTAAAGGACGAAACCTACTTCACAACAGATCTTATTCACTACTTTATACCGCGTATAATAAAGTCTTTTCACCAGAAGAAACTTGAAAGTTTGTCACTAGGCATCTTGCGTAAAAAGCTTTTGCCACTGCGGTACAGAAACCATTTGTCCCCAGCGGGTAATTAGTGCAGAATGTACATCAACGTTTCCTCAAGAAAACGTTAATTTTAATTTGGTCTCCGCACACTATACATGGCAACAAGGGCAATTTTACTGAAACTACTTTTAACTTAGTAGAAAAAAAGAATGAATCCCTTAGAAGTCCCTCAATATTGTCCTATTGAAAGATATTGCGCCCCTGTTAGGAGAACTAAAAACAGATGAGTAGTTTTTGAAATAAGGTAGAAAAGGGCTTACGGAAGAGTTACAGATATCGACATTAATCTTATGACGAACATACGGAACAAATTAAGGAGTGAGCAAGAGCTTAGGTGATAACGTTAAAATTCATGTGGAATATTTTACAAAAAGTATAGAAATTATATATGTAATAATTAAGTAATAAAGTAATTTTTCTGTTACTTTAAAATTTCCAATCTCCTTCGTTTCACCCCTTACACAAGATGGTCAGCTAATTATAAAAGATTAAAGCCAGCTTGTAACGAACTATTAAATTTGTCTCAGTTGAAGAGAACAACGCCACTATTTTTTTTGATGCCTAAGTGCATTTTAAGAACTTACAAGGTGAAAAGATATATACCGCCTCTGATAGGATCTCATATGATTATTTAAGTCACCTAATAAGTTTTGGAAGGTAAATCTATAAATATTTAAATACGCCATAGCTAGTAGCCGATTGATATTTGGACTTATTAAGAATATTTAAACCAATAAATCGTGATTAAGATACCTTACTAATTCAAGCTCTGGGTTGAGAAGTCTGTTTTACTTCGGTATAAACCTTTGTTCAAAGAGCCACCCTCTAAAAGGGGACTAAAGAAATTTATTACACTTATAACAATTTTAATTTAACTAAACCTACAATTAAATTCCTCAGCTAATAAGGAAAGAAGGCTATTATAAAATTCAAAACGTTAACAGAACGTTAAACATAACAAAATGGGTTTAAAATTTTGTTTAAAAATAGGCACTAGGTTTATGGAAACAGCTGACAAGTAACTAAATCTGCTTTAAAGTAAATTTGGTCGGTCCGTTAACTAAAATGTAGAGTAGTATTTTTTTGCATTTAAAAATCTTTCAAACGAATTGCTTGATATTTGTAATATATGCTTTTCATATTTAAAGCTATTCTGTCAATATATAAGATATTTTTTAATAAACAAATTTGTCTATTGATTTCTTTTCGTAACAACCAGTAGTTTTTTCTTTTTAATTGTTCAACTTTTGTTGAAATCAGACAGCTAATAGTCCTTAAAGAAAAGGCTTGTTCGGTCGTCTATTAAATCAAGGCGAATTCTTTATCTAATTGAGTACAAAAAACTGCGTGAACTACTCGTAGAGGGGGCCCGACGCTTGTCTTAAATGGTTTATCCTTGGGTAGTTTCTTATTCAAGGAGTTCCCTATATAAACATTATTTTGGGGTCGCTTGTAATAGTTGCACTTTAAGATACTATCCCGTAACTCGACGCCAGAATAAATAAAATAGTTTTCTTAAGGTTTAGCAGCACTGCTATGTGGTATGGAACTAAACGCGTACGTTGTAATACCAATAACTCTTATGGTATTTATATATATTAATAATTTATTTTGAAACCAATTATAGCATCGTTATATTTGACTTAACAATCCAAGAGGGAGAGTTTGCAGTGGTCATAATTAATGTCTTCCTATTTTTACATAATATAAGGGTACAATAGACTTTTCAAGAGGTTAATAGCTAAATTCCGCTTGTTAACCAGATAACAAGTAGGTTAAGGCAACATTACAAGAGATCACTGCAGCCTATGGGTGTGTTGGGGTAACCCCAACTTTGATCAAGTTTCATAATAAAAAATTACTTCATTATAGTTTTTAGTTTGAAAGTAAAATGAAGAGAAGTTAATTTTATTGTTATATTAACAATTAAAATTACAAAAATAGGCTGACGTCGGTCAGTAAAACTATATATTCTAAGGAATCTTAAAACTCTACGAAGTAAAAAGGTATGCAGACCCAAGAAAATAATAAAAAGAATAATAAAAAGTTATTTCTATACAAGAATTATAATTCTAAATTAATTTCAAATGATAAATTACGATATATAAAAGTAAGTGAACATATTTTAAAACTGACATTAAAAAAGAGTAGGGTGGAGACCCATAAACAGAGGAAATGGAAAGACTAAACTATCTAACAGTATCCAAAAAAAACCTTAAAACTAGAAATAATGCATTGAAAGTAAAAACGAATACAAATTCCATTTTAATAGGGACCCCTTCTTTGATAAGCATTTCTTGTCGTTGGTCGAGCGTCATGACTTACCGACAAAAAACTTTTCTCCAAAATTAGAAAACAACAACTACATGTACCATCTCTCAGGAAAGACTTTGATAACAATAACACATAACTTTTTAGATAGCTTAATAATAAAAATAGTATTATTTAGATCTTGAGCAAGCCCTAATTGCCTTAGGTCTTAAAAGCACAACACAACAAATAAAATAATAACTTAAAATACAAAAATTTCTATCAGGACATTGTTTAAAAAAAAAAAAGTAAAAGAACATATATATTTAAGCCTGTTAGAATAATGACATTTGCTTTTATCTTTATTAATTGATATTGCAACTGCTCATTAGTCCCTACGCTTATTTTGCGTTATTTTTTATTAGATGCATGTCTAATTATATTACAATTTTGTGGTTATGAGTAAATAAAGAGATGGCGCTTCTACGCTCATCGTTCATTTATCCCAGTACTTGAGCTCTCTTCTTTTTGTGCGCCCGGTTTCTGATTTAAAATGTTTTTAATAAAATTTTTAGACACCAGCGATAATAAGGTGTTATGCGGCCTTTGGCTTTTTTCCCTATTTTACTTAGTTCAAACTACAATAAGTTGTGCCTCTGGTAAAAGTAAACTTTCATATTATTTATTATCTAAAAGTAACTAATTATTGTACACCCCGAGGTTGCCGTGGGTCTCATGCAGTTGCGTTGGCAGTTGGTGCCATCTCCACTTTGCTTATTTCTGGTTCAGTATTCTTGAAATGTTTTTACAGTTATAGACCTAGAGTTGTGGATCTAATAATGGCTATTTTCTTACTACTGTTATGGACAGGTTTTCAAGTTAGAGTATTGCATCTTATTACCCTAAAATATATGACGGGTAGCTGGTCTGGGGGTAGGGACCTTTTACGGCCCCTATGGCATAGTAATCGGTGCAAATGCAAATGGTTATTTATCCGCGTGGACGGCCTTCTTTTTAAGCGGCTATTATGTTTTTTTTTTCTGTTCCGCTCATCAACAAATTACAGCGCATAAAAATAGAATTATAAATACAACCGGACTTCTTTTAATTAGTACTTTGTTTTATTTAATATCTTCTGCGATAGTATGTAAACGGGAGCTGTGCACGTCGTATGTAGGTATAAAACTTTTATTACTTTGTTGGTAATTAATTTTTTCTTGGCTTTTTAAAAATTTGCTAAAAAAAGGATATGCGATTGTTGTGGGCGCTGTAGGGCTTATATTCGCTATGCTTTTGTTTATCTCCAGGTTACTGGTAAAAGGTTAATTAACATATATTTAACTACCCGAGTACAAGCAAATATAACCGTAACGCGTAGGGCTGTCAAAAAAAATCGAGGTTTGTTTGGTTGGTTTCTTATTTTTGTGGATAACCTCCGGGACAGTTGTGGGAACTTTTGCTTCTCCGTTTAACCTTTTGGGAAATGGGTACCTAACGGCTTGGGTATCCTTCTTCGGAACTCTAGCTCTTTTATTAGAGGTAGCTCAACGGCCCATAGAGCTCATTATTATTAATTTTATAGTTATAGTCAGCAGAAGATTTTTATTAAATAAGAAATAATCTTTTTTTATTAGCTTTTTAACCAACTATGAACTTTTCTATAAATTTATAAATTATAATATAAAATATGACAAGTCACAAATTGCATTAATAAATTTTTATATTTGGTCTCCACAGGTAGTGGGTCGAAAGTCAGAGCAGCCGGCTGGGAATTATCACCCAAACACTTTTGCAGCGCCGATTTAAACTTTAATAAAAGGCTATACTTCAACAGTAGATCTTATTACTTGCTGTAATTGACAATTTTTATTTATCTTAATTTTTATATAACTTTTTTGCCTTATTTTGTTAACATTTTTATTTTTGAGTATTGCTGTTATCACAATCAAACCGTGGTTATGAAAACAAACGTATATTTTGCAAGTTTACTGGCCTGCAGTTAAAATAAGAAAAAATTATTGACTAACTTTTGTCAGCCTCGATAAATTTCTCCTTGATCGCTACAAGGTCTCAATCTCTATCACACCTGTCGGTCGTTCAGAAGCTAGACACCTTGTTCGGAATAAGATCTAAGATATTAAACCGATATTTCTAAGAAACGCAATGCAGCTTTTGATCCTGAAAAATTGTACAGTTATTTTTCAGAAACACTTGTGCTGTCTAGAACCGAAAAGGAACATTTCTTGTAGTTAAGTTCTTTCCGCATTATAAGAGCCAAGCTCTGATAAAAATCTTATACTGCTGTAACTAACGACCTATTAATACAAAGTCCATTTGCTTAATGCTCGTCAATAAGCTGTAGGCCTAACCATTCCTCATACAGTCATTCAAAACTAATTAAAATGGACAGCTCCAGGTGGGTGCAAATCAACAACAAAATTTATCCCACGCTTTTACAGGAAATTACCAAGAAATATATCTTTGATGTACGAAATATCTCAAAATTAAATGAAAAAATAAGAATAATTTAAAGCTGCTTAGTTGTATCTTACTGAAGAGACGTGTCAAATATTCTAAATACACCATGAAAAGTAAAAGTTTATACCTTTTCTGTAACCCGATTTGAGTTTTATGCTTATAATTGGTCAGTGACAGTTAAATTCCGACGTATATATTTGTTTATTTGTTTATTTGTAAATAACTCTTCCTGGTGCTCGATTGAATCAACAACTTCTAATTTTCGAGCTCTCTATTAAATAGCAAAAAGACGAACTACATATCTAGTCTTAGATCTATAAAGTTTCTCCATATTTTTTTCACCTGCAAAACAAAAACTGGCGAATGAAGCGCTTCGCATGGTGGCGATAACGTGCTCTGTCCCACTCTCATAAATGAGCTTGCTCGCCGGTAGGCGATTAATAGCTAGCCGTTGGAAGACAGGGCTCAATGGGTTTAGCTGAAAGATTTCGGTGGAAAGCCCCAATTCATGCAAACCACTCTGCGTTTGACCTCAGGCACAGCAACCTATCTTTGCTTGGAGTGCACAATATTATCGTGAAGTCGTAAACTAAAGCAGGAGACGCATGCGTTATTACTGACTGAATGCTAAACGCATACAATCGTCATTTTTTGCGCAACGGAAGCCTGCTCTTGCTGCATAGTGAAAGATAAAGCGTTTTTGTCGTTGTCTTAGCCTTCGCCACCTGTCGATGATGACCCTTAAGTATTTTGCTTGAGTGTATTTCATACCATTAAATGTTGAGTACCATCAAGGAAACGCGATTCTTCGTTATTGAAAGCGCTTTACTCGCATTTGTAGCAACTTCCATTTATAGCACCAGTAGACAAGTGCGTTAAGATTGCACTATAAGCACAGCAGGGCGGACGACTTAGACGAAGACTAAATGGTTGCATCATTCAAGAGACGCCGTCTGTTGTCATATTGGAAAGGTCTAAGACCCATCGCCCGAATTAACTGGGGGCGATATATTGCATCGCTGTTAAAAAGCATTTTTTCCAGGATTTCATTTGTTGCCTTTAGTTTGGGTTACACTTTGACAATCGCTTAAATCTTGCTTGATTCAAGATATTACCCGTAAATATCAGTCATAAAAAGCTCAGCTGGAGGAGTACAGCATTGGCATATGAGAGAGCAAATTGCATATTCTGGGCTACGAAAAAAGTAGCGAAAAGCGTAGCCTTGCCTTCATTTACAAACTTTCATGAGGGGCGGCCGCTGTCGCCTGTTTCCGATATATTGCTCAGTTTGGCCTCCTATCTACAATTAAAACGGGCCACCAGCTTTCGAATGCACCAGTGCATTGGATTTAGATTTGACCTCGGCGCTTTCTGACAGTATGGCCACTTGGATAGGGGCCGACAGACGATCGCGGGACGATACGTCACTTCCCGCTTTGTGGTGGCGTAGTGTGAGCCATGGTCAGTGCGCTTCTTAAGCAGGCAAGAGCATCACCCAAGGGGCGGGTGCGGAGAAAGTGTGGTTTCGAGAAAACCAGCAAATTTGTCCCAGTCAGTGAAGGACTGAGTGATGGCCTTCGGTGTATCCTTTCCTTCCCTTAATTTAAAAAGAACAGAAGCGTGGTAAGACAACAGTTCGTTGAGCGCTTTAATCGAAGTGGAGAGATGTATAGCTTTCAGTAAGAGCACCCAATGTGCCTGGCGCCCCAAGAGCTTTAAGCCGAGGTTGCACATTTCGCAGAGCTAGCAGAGATAACGGAGTTTAAAATTGTCTGCATCAATTCAGTATTAGTGTGAAGTAGCAAAGTTGCACTATTTAATGCGACATCGGGGAGGAGGTCCCTTTCGTTGATTGCGCACACCTCAATTCCTTCACGTCGCATTAACTCCCCTAACCCTAACCCTAACCCTAAGGGTTAACCTTGGCATTCCAGAACAGGAGTCGATTGCGACGGTGCGTCTTTGGTCTAGAAACCGTTAGAACCAGGTTCTAATCCTTTTAGCCTCAAGTATGATGAACAGATTCGTCCACAAAATCGCTAACAGATGTCGTAATTCGGCTGTGGAAGTTTAGGCCGCTATTATCGATCAACTGTCTTGATAGGAGCTAGGTAAGCAAGCTATAAGACTTTTGGACAAAGCTGAATGAGGTCTTGTCCTCACACGGATTCAGAAGTATATAACAAAATGACTGAATAGATAAATGAGAGCATTAAGGACTTACAAGCACTCAAGAGTCCGTCAAAACCGTTAGGAAAACGACTCTTTCTTTTCCATAGGCTAACTTCACTGCCTCGTAGTGTATTATTATATACAATTTCTTGAGCAGTACTCGTTACTGTCAAATATCGGATGAAAAGTATTCAAGGCGGTAATTTGCAGTTAGATATAACCTTTTGTGCTGATAAAAAAGTTTTAACCGCAATTTGGTTTTAGAAACTACTGTATAACATGTAGTCAGAATCCTACTTCTGCTTGCCTAACTTATACCTTTCAGCTCCTCTTTATTGATGTTAACTTTTTTATGGGAGATTATGTAGATGACATATTAAACTTCTACTTCCGGCCTATTTGAATGCTCTCTTGTTTCCTTCGCATTATTACTTTTGTACTTTCGATTATGCCACAAATGAAAGACAGCTTTTTTCGCAAGTTCGCTTTAGTCAGCTTCTTTAAAATTCCCTCTTTTGTAGCACTTGCATAAATCTTTCAAAAAGGCTTACAAACACGGAGATCATCTACTGACGTAGAAAAATTAAAGAAAAAAAGGGATTTACCCTACATAATTAATCGAATGCCTTCGGGATGGTAATGAACACTTAAGGGAATTTACTTTCGTACACTACAAATGATCTGGCCCCTTTTCCAACTTAGAGTTATGCTTCTTTTACTTTCGAAAAAAAAAAGGATAAAATATTTAAAAAGAAATATGAAATTTAAGTTATCGAGGGTTATGTGACGTCGCGCTATACTGAACCTGAAATCTATGCAAGAACGTACTATGGATAGGAGGCCCTTCTGGAAGCGGTCAGCTACCAAAACACAGTAACCCCTTGGGACATCTCTGCTAACTATTTAGAAGGTTATGCGATTGAGTACCAAAGACTGACCAGTTAAAACAGTTTTATTGTTACCGTTAGTTGCCATAGCAAGAGAAATGAAGTGAATATTGCTGTGCACTGTTTAGTTACCTACTCCTGTTTTTATATTATGTTCTTTATACTTTTATAAAACTTTTATTGTTAAATATACGTTATTAGAAATGTAAGATCATGTTGTAAAATACATAATTATTATCCTCCTTAATCAACTTATTATAAAGCTGCTATATTGACATTTTATAAATTAATTTTGTTTTAAAACTTTTAAATTATAAGCTGAGGTTCATCTAGAGATTAGCTTCAGTCATTTCATAAAAGTAATCCATGGAATGCGTGAGAAAACTCCTCCAATAATTTATTTCCATATGCGAGATATTTTTAAGTTTTAAAGCAGTGGGATCCTTGTTAGATAGGAATTATTTACAGCAAAATTAAAATATAAAAGCGTCATTTTCTAATGTTATTAGTCAGTCATACCGAAATTTCGTGAAGAGATTTTTTTAATTTAGCTAAACGGGTCTCCCAAAGTTTTTCTAACGATATTCGAGTTTGTGTGGCGTTAGAAATATCGTCGGGTGCATATTTTAACACTCGCATGCCCTTAAATATAATTTATTATAACAAGTTAATAAACTTAAATTTAAATTAAAAAAAAAACAGTTTACTATTTCAAGCGCATAGGCTGGCAGTTCGGATAATTGTTCTTTTTCCTGTTCTTCTTCAATTTTCTTAGTAAGGAACTAGAATATAAGAGGGGGATGAGACTATTCGTAGTAGAGTAAAATCAATTTACTTCAGTGTTTAACCAAGGAGGCGATACTATTCTACAACGACTCCTCTTTTTTAGATTCATGGCTAACCATAAGGGGACCTCAACGGGTAGAGATGGCTCAAAAGGTCCTGTAATTTTTAAACTTTACAATACTTTTTAAGAGTATATTCTATATTGTACAAAATACTTGGAAAAATTATGATAAAAAAAAAAGAAATAGCTTATGAGCAGGATTTATAGCAGCACGAACCGTAGTCTTTTCTAATTAGACTAAGCTTCTCCAATCGAAAGTTTGGAACAATAGTTATCCCTTCATCTTCAGCAAAAAATTCTATTTCTGAAGCAGTGAACTCGCTTAACGAATCCATTAAAAAGCGGTTAGAGTAAATGTGGCGCGCCTCATTATTTAAAAGTAATATTAAAGAATATTTATCTTAGCTGTGGTTATAAAAATTTTCCAAGAAAAAATCTTAGTACACTCAAACTTTTAATTTATTTATACTTTAGTAAACTCGTAAAAGGTAAATCTTGACGAATAACTTGCAAGTTGCTTAAAAGTAAAAGATATAAAGAAGAGGCACGCAATAAAGAGAGTTCGGAGTATAGATATTTTCGTTAAGTAATAAAATTCTTTAGAACATTATAATATATATAGAGGCCTACAAAGGCATAAAAAAAACAATGAAACAGGGAACAGAGCAACTAAATGTAAGTAACATCAACTTTTCTCTCAAAAAACTTAACTCAGGTTAAGCAGCAATAAGTTCTACAAAGTTTTAAAATAAATTAGTCTTGAATAAAACACTTGCTGCGACAGAAAAACCCCTTACAAAACCTAACATAAGATTACATCTAAGACTTTAATAAAAAGGGAGCGAAACACATAAAAACTACGTAAATATACAGAATGCTCTACAAACAAGTGCTTTAGAAGACTATCAACTCAAATACTGTACGAACTAGAAGTCAGTGTGCTAACTAGGTAAAGCTACTGTACCTGTGGGCCTTTGAGGGAGGGTTAGTGCGACAACCTTTCCTGTAGTTATGAAACACTATATTAAAGTGATCGAAGTCCATAAGATATAATAAAAAAATTGCCTGGATGTAAATAATGCCTTCTATATATGTGGCAACCTTCCTTACTCAAAAGTCATTCTTTACTAGTTCTTTTGTTTTAAATAGTTAATGAATTTGTTGAGGATTAAACGATAGTATTTAAAATAAATCATCGTTCACAAGGTGCTACCTATTAGTTTAATAGCTTTATTTCTCAGATGTAAAATTTTGATATTGAGAATTCAAAAAATCTTTTAAACCTTGTCTAAAATAAAAGCAAACTGAAAAGATAACTAAGCGCCCACGAAAGTGTGAGAAGTCAATAGTTAGAAACCCTTCCTTACGTGACCGGAATAGATTTAATTTTTAAAAATTGTAGATGTTCGCTCCCTGATATATTATTTATTATAACCGCTGAACTTCATTTTGCTTTTATATCCAGATTGTATTATATATTGGCATATAAACCGAAATAAAAATTTAAAAAAATCACTCTTAAAATTTTTTAGTTCTGCTTGGGATTACCCGTATCGAATATTAGTTGTATTCAAATCTTTCGCTACATATGTCAGCTTGGAATAATTTAAACCTGGTTTATATTTGTGCTAACCAGTGTCAGAATTTTACTTTGGAATTATTCTCGCTTTCAACGCTAACATAGCTGACTTGAAAAGAAGTTTCTGAAGTTTGCCGCCTGTTATGTTCATAGCTGTCAACTTACTATGTGTTATTTGAAACACAATATATAACAACTCACTGACCATGACTTAAAAGATTTGCTATACGAAGACAATACAGCTGAGCAAAAGTCATCAAAAACGTCCACGTTTATCTAAGTAGTAAAATTAGTGTTTTAGGTGCTGCCGTTTACAATGAGGTCTCGAATATTTTTTCCGACCGTAAATGTTTGGGGGGGTTAAAGAATACCTGTGTTCCACCGAACATAATTAGGATAAACTTAATGAAGAGCTATAAGATTTAAGAAAACTTAGAGATTTAAAGGATTTTAAATAAAGTTTATGCCCACATAACTAATTTGATCGTTTCGCATAATAAAAAGATATAAATTAACTACTGTTACAGAAATATATGCATGACCGAAATTTGTATTATTATGAAAGAGAAGTACATATTAGCACTACTAACTGTAACAGCTTTAAAAATTTGCCGTCATTAATTAGATTAAACGATCAGTTATAAGCCACCTTGACAGTTTATCCAGAAATCTTTTAATTAACTCCAATTCACTGGGCTTTCATTCAACAATCGTTGGGATGGACATTAACTTGTGAGTACTGTTCTTTTAAATATTTTCTTAAGCTAAAAAACTTCAAACAAAGTAGTGCCTATTCGAAAAAAGAAGTGAACTTTATTTCTTTAAATTTCTTTCTTAAACCAAAACGAAAGAACTGCTAAGATCAACAACCAAAAAAAGCCAAATTAAT